CCCAAAACCCCAAAACCCCAAAACCCCAAAACCCCTGGAATTCGCCACAACTTGAAATAAATTTATTTTGTCAATGGCAGAGGTATGAGCCTGGAGGTTATTTGGGAGAAACCAATATGAATAAAGACTTGAAGGTTAAAACTTATTAGGGATTTAAAATCTAAGTTAGAGTGTTAGGTTTAAATTAAAATCACATAATTTTGAACATAGTATAAGTTCTGAGATCTCCTTTAAAGAATTCAAATATTTTACTCTTTCATACAGAGAAAAAGAGCAATATTGAAGAAGAAATCTCTTACTCCTAGAAGTGTATTAAAAGAAGACAGGCATTCAGCCATAAGGAATATGAGAGCAAAGGCTTCCAATATGATCTTAAATGATTTTGGAAGTATAGTCTTGGAGGTAATTAGTGAATACTTAAGATTAGACTATTCAGAAAACAAAAGGAGACATAGAAAATAAAATATTTCAGAGAATTAAGGAAGGTGACATTTTAGTTCAAAAAGAAGGTAAGGAAAGCTTGTAGAATCAAATTTTGAGCTAAGGGATAGGAGCTAAAGTTTATTTTAGGGATTGATAAGAGGACAGAAAAATTAAAATAAAGAACACAAGAAGGATAAGATTAAAGGCCTGATTCATTCTGTAGCTAGTTCAGGATTTTCTATACAGGTGGATATCTAAATTTATCTCTAGGCTGTTAAGAAAAGTAAAATTCTCGTGGAAGAGGACCCATACGTAAGGTTCCCTGTTACTTTATAGGCAAACATGTCAAATATCGATCCAATTCCCTGCGTCTCAATAGACAGCACAATTCATAACAGAAGTTTTAGCATGAATCAGTTCAGTCCTAAAAATGTAAGGCTCCCTGTAATTCTCTAGGTTCAATTCAGTAGTTTCTCAAGAGTTGAAAGAGACGGTAAGCCTTAAACATTCTCTCCTCCAAAATGGGCAAAATTCTTACAAAAATAGGCTCTTTCGATGATAAAAAGTACTTACAAATCTCAACAGAACGGATCAAATCTATCAACAAAGAAAAGCGGAAGCTTCAGCTTCGGAAACAGAAGGATGAAATCAGGATTAAGAAGCTAATTCAAAAAGAAACTGAGAAGAAGCTTCAAATCGAAGCTATGAAAGAACGTGAGAGGCAGGAACGTAACGAGCAGATTCTCAAGAAAATCGGTAAATATCTCCTATTTTCCCCTTTCTGACTGACACCTTTGTAGAAAAGAGGAAGCTTGAAAGGGAACTCAGCAATAATTTAAGACAGGAAGAGTATAAGAAAGTTAAGAGAGCCACACCCATGTTTCAAAAGCTAAGGAAAAGCTATATTGAGAACCATGAGTTGCCAGAATTACAGAAGAAAAAGGAAATTTTAACAAGCATTCGTGATTTGCATCAACCGATTAATTCTAAAGGTACGGGTTATGCTCTTTTGCTTAGATTTTGACCAGCATGAGAAGAAGTGGAAGCAGAAGAGAAAGTCGCTAATCAAATAAGCTTGGAGATAAGAGAAGACTCACTAATCGGAGTTCTACCAGCCTCCATTGTTAGCCCTCGTTTGTAATTTCTAGATCAATCCAAATTCATGAAAGACTATCTTACTCAAGAAGTTGTGAAGAATAGTGAGCAGATCTTTGAGAAACAGAAGAAAAGTGATTACCGTGCTAAGCTGAAGCATTATGGAAAAATTGTACAACAAACTTTCAGACCTGAAATCTCACAAGAGAAGAAACAGGAGGTTGAAGCTCTTAAGGAAATGTTTCCGAATGACAGACTTGTAAGAAGAAGCACTGACAAATTATCCTGCAACTCTATTGTAAATAAATAATGTTATTGTGTAGGGCTCAGCAACTCCTCGAAAGAAGAGCCATAGGCAAACAGGATTCCCGAGATCGACCCAGATTACAATGGCTACTAAGAATAGAGGTAATCTCTTGAAGGATACTTTTTAGCATGGAAGAAAGTCAACCCGATGGTGCCCAAACCTGTGGAGAAGAAAGTTTCTGTTACAATAGATTACCTTCAGGATCTTAAAAAAGAACGCTCCAAGAATGGAGAGAAGCCTGATTTCTATTATGTCAAAAAGCACATCAAGAAGAATCTCAAGAAGGGGCTTCAGAATAGCCCAAAGGAGAAAATAGATGAAGTTAAGAACTTGTCTCGAGCTCTTAATGCTAAGGCAGAACAGAAGTTGCAGCAAGTCAAGGCTGACAAAACAGTAATGGAATGTTAATAATATTTAGATGGCTTCTAAGCTCATTGAGGAGTCGAACAACCTGATTATTGATAGCATCCACAGCAAGTTGATGCTGTTAGAGAAACTGAAATAAATCAATAGATTGTTGACAATTGGGGTTTTGGGGTTTTGGGGTTTTGGGGTTTTGGGG